TGTAGGATGCGTTGTACATCTATCCATTCAAAGAGGAGTTGACTGTTTAAAAAGGGTCAATTTATTGGAAAATTTTTTTATTTTTATTTTAAATTTTTTTTTATATAGCCGTCATCTATTATATTACCTTTAATTATTATAATGTAATGTTTAAATGTTTACTTTAATATTGTCCATTTTGGCCAGCCCTAGCCACAAATGACTGCGCCCACACGAGAGCAAGGCTCTCTCACCGCCCTGCCCTCACCTTCACCTCCTCGAGAGCGAGGCCCACAAGCAGCGGCTTGGCCCCGAGTTTGCGTCGGGGCCTCCTAATCCATGGCGGTGGTGTGTGTCTGGTCATTTGGGGTTCTTGAGTACCAGGGGCGGCGCCTGGCCCCCGGATTTCTGTGCACGTGACCCGGCGGGGCGGGAAAGGAAATTTGGAGTTTTAGGGGCGCACGTGGTTCTCCCAGTCCCCACCAGAGATCTTCCCTGGAGGGTTCCGGCAGCCACAGCGTGAAGCAGGGCCAGGAACGGTGGAACAGAGCCCCCGGAGGAGGAGGAAGGATCGAGGGGGCAGCGATGGGGCCTGCGGCCTTGCAGGGGACAGTGGCGAGGCTGGACCTGGTGGCCCCGGGGGAAGGGAAGTTTCTGGATGCTGGATAGGGAAGGGGGTCCACGGACAGGTAAGGGGGAAGCAGGGAGCCTTATGTGAGGGAAGAGGCAGGGGTAGGAAGGGCGGAGAGTAGGTCCTTGAAACCTAGGAGCCCTTGCATCTGCAGGGGTGACTGGCACCTGGCAAGCCAGGTAAAAGGATCTTTAACTTTATTATTATTTTTAATGCGGATAAAAGCGTTTGATTGAGTCAGACATTGGTGGGAAGTTGAGAAGCATCTTGGAAATCAGTGCTGGATGCAGGAGAAGCAGAAACGGGTCTTGTTCAATATGAAACTAATTTTGATGCGTTTATCATTGAATTTCATTCACTGGGAGGCAGCAGTCCCATTTCAATGCCTTTGGATGAAGGCCACAGGGGAGCTCTGATAATGTCTTGATTGCTCCAATAGCTGAGTGTTGGAACTCAGTTCCTTCATCTTGCTCCACTACACCAATTGTCCAATTGGAGCCCCTCTGCCAGGGACTGGACCATCTGGACACCCAGTATTTTACAGGGAAGCCATGAGAAGTTGTGTGTGTATAAGAGAGTCTTTATTGTAGAAGCCAGTGGCCATGTAGCCATTGCTAACAAGGAACCACTAGACAAAACAGTTCTTCAAAGCAAAGTCCCATACAGTAGCTGCACCGGCTAGGTAACAATACATCTTTCCCACACAGCAGCAGCCTGCTGGTCAGTAATACATCTTTCCCTTAATACAGCAGCACCTAACACAGGAGAGCCTCACCAAGCAGCCTCACTGGCTGCTCAGTAACAACTTTATACTAATTTGACAAAAGAGGCTTCTTTCCAAATAGTGACCTCGGTTTTTTGGGTTATATAAGGGAACACTTGTGCAGTGTACATACAGATAGATTACTGTGGATTTGGTCTTGCACCTGTGTATAGTCCTTGGACTCCCTGATTAAGATTCCCATGCTCATAGTGGCCTTGAACATCTGGTGTACTCTGAAAAGGGCCTTTATACTCTAATTGGCCTTGAGCATCTGAATAGGGTCCCCACCCTGAGTCAGAGGCAGGCAGGGACCAAATGCTTTGCTTTGCAGGATACTACCTGGTAGAGGAAAAGAACGTTCTGCCCTCTTCCTGCCTTGTATTGCTTTTGGAAGTCTTTCTGGGAGCCCTCCCCCACCCGACAACACTGTTGTGATTTCTGGAGACACTGACGGCCTCTAGGATGAACTCAGGGACTCAGGAGCAAGGCTTGCCAAGAGCCCCTGTTGCTTTGGTGGGCATAAGATTTCCCTGCACTGTGATTCTGGCCCTTTCTGTAGGTCCCTTTTGATCTGGTTTCCTCTATGAAATGACTGAAGACCTCACACTTTTTGCCTTTCTTCCAAGACAAAGGAGCCAGTGCAGTGTTTGTTTCTGAAACCTGTCTTTTTGATCATCTTTCTGAGGTTGAAGCTCAAGGCGGGGGGGGGGGGGGGGAGGGGGGGTTAAAGGAATTTTTAGGGATGAAATAGGCAGGTTTAGGAAATTTTAGGAATTAAGGGATCCGTGGAAAAAACACAGGGCTACAGAGTTGCAAAAGGGTACATTTCCATAAGACAAAGGAGTTGGGAGCGGCTGAAGTTATATTTCCATAAGACAAGGGAGCTGGGAGTAGCAAAAGCGTACACATTTACAAAATGGAAGAGAAAGCCCAGAGGGAATAGGAGAACAATAAGGGAGAAGAAGGAGGGAACATCACATACTTCATGTGAGACTTGAGCTCAGGAGTTGCTATAGTGACCAAATCAAAGGGGGGATAGTGACCAATCAGAGGGGATATCAAGGCACAAAAAACTGCAGCCTTTATAAACCATAGAGAAAAGGAACTCAGTGGACTCTTCCCCCTCCCCATGTAGGAGTCTGTACTTGTTCTTCAATAAATTTCCATCTTTGCTATGCCATCTTCCGTCCATGGTTTCATTCTTCGACTCCAATGGACAAAGAGCCCAGGAAGCCATTCTGCCCAGGGGAACACCACGCATTTCCAGTTCAAATTTCCGGTTTCATAATGGTGCGTCATCCGGGAATTTTATAAGTCAATCCTCTTCACGTCGAACAGTGAGTGTACCCACAGAGTCTGTCCCTTTCCTGTCTCTTGTATGATTTTGGAGGCTGACGGATGCCCACCAGCCACTTAAACCTAGCTGCTGTCCAAAAAGCAGGCATTTCCCTCTCTCTTTCACTGCTCTTTTCTAGATGCACTCTCCATCTCCAGGGCCAAACTAAAAGTGGGCATGGGTCAGTCAAGTAATAGCCACTAGGGTGACTGCCACAAAAAGTCTCCCATGTCAGGATAAACTGGTGCCAGGTCGGGTTAGAGCATTAGGCTTCCGCCAGTAGCAAGTCAAAGCCTGGCCATTGACTAAATGAGTGCTTGGGTCCCTGCCCAGCTCCAAAGACCAAAGAGGCAGTTCTCCCCCAGGTCCGGGACTTTTGGATGTTCCTACATGAGTAGGAAGCCACAGAGGGGGTGCTGGGAGAGAACCTCTCCATGGCATGAAGACCGCCTCATAGGGTTTTAACAACACATGTAATTAAATTCTGACCTATCCAGGGGATGCAAATAAGGGTTGGTCACCCAGCATTCTGAGTCCTTGTGGTTGTCTTAAACAGCCGGGAGAGAAACTGAGACATGTTTCCAAAAACATCACATTTCTGACCCACTACATATGTCCACTCCTCTGGCCCAGATCCCAAGCAGGTTTTAATTGGAGGGTCATCTGCCTTTTTCTTCTGCTCTCTATCTCGGTCAGGTGAAATAGCATCCAGCCAGTAAGGCCACTGCCTCTGCAGTCCAGGTCCCATTAAGCTTAACTCCTCAGTCTCCATTTGTGCAGGCCTCTCTAGTATAAAGAGAGTAAAAGGTCCTAAGGGAAAACTTCTAGGCAAGAGTTAAGACACGTGGGGCCAGCCAACTGTTTTCTACTCCTGGCATATAAGCATGGCACTAGATCTTCCCATCAGGTGTAACAGGAGTTAATCACAGTCCTTAGCCACTCCTGCCAGTACCCCCTGTAGAAGTTTTTAGCCTTTCAGAGACTTCACTCCCAGTCCGAACGGTTTTTTTCATCAATCTGCTTTACTAAAGACTGAATTAAAGGTTTGCAGCACCTAAGAAGGGGTTAATTCCTCAGGCAGAGGAGGACTTTCCAAACTCCTTAGAAATCTAGGATGGGAGCCCGAAGTCTGTCTGCATGCAACAGACAGTAATACCAGAGAGCAAGGCTACTGCAAGTGAGGAAGGCATGGCCCCTTACTGTGCGCAGCAGCACTACAGCCATGCAGCTGTTAAGTTAGCCCATTAGTTACTAGGTCGCTTGCCTCTCACCTTTATTGTGATCTCTGTGAAATAAATCTGGAGTTGTGAGATGTCTTTTTCACTCTGCGTCTGACGCTCCAGGTGTTTTGCGTTTCATATTAGGGGTTTATAAATGTTTTCAATGCTTAATACACCATATACAATAAGCCGTGTGCCACATGTTACACTTTATATACAAATTGTTTGTTGTACTAAAGGTTGTTATCTCAGAATGTTATAAAATAAAGGTTTTATCAATTACATTTTAAACAAATCTATAAACATGCCACTTTTTGAATTTTGTCATATTGGACAGCCATTGCTTTACTTTGGTGCATTTATGTCTTTAGAAAAACCCATGGAAAGGACTCTGACTTACTCTATATTGCAGGCTTCTAAGCAGGTCATATCTTTGAACTAAATGAGGGTTTGTAGAACTTCAGGGAATTATTAAGTAGAAATAACAAAAATGTATATATAGAAGGTGGTACCCCCTTACCAGCATACCTCAGTGAAAGTTTAAAAAGGGGAAATAAAAATCTCTTCCACCAATATTCACCTTTAATAAGAACTAAGAAGGTGTCCTTTTACCTAAACCAACGGCCGCCAACTGGTGGTCCGCGGACCACTGGTGGTCCGTGAGGTCTGAAAGGTTGGCAACCACTGACCTAAACTGTTCCCTGCAAAGTCAACTAGCATGTCCCTCTTCCAGGCATTTTTTAGGAAGCAACCAGGTTGTTTGCCCTGTTTTAAAGA